TGATGTATTCCTCTCACTATCTTACTTCGTACATGGTAGTGGTGCATTAAAACTATGTGTTTCTCCCCAAGTCTCTGGTTCTTTACCTGCCATCTTAAATGATAGATTATTACCCTTCCTACCCTTAATGTCAAACCCTTGGGCTTTTTCAGTTGAATTGTCTCCCTCCACATTACTGTGGAAATGGTAGGGGAGGACTGAGCTGGAGACCGTGTAGTTTTTTGTCACAGTCAGCTTGAACAATATGACACATGTAATTTCTGTTAGTTGGAACCAATATTATTCTTACCTAGACAAACCAGAGAAGTCAGCTTCTTCTTCTTCACATCTCTCATCCAACTCCTTCAAAGCAAGAGTGACATCCTCTTCACAGATCGATTCAGAATAGCTCTCAGGAGCTGCTGCCTCTGCCAGTTCTGGGGTCTCTTCCAACTCAAGAGACTCATGACAGACCAGGCAGTCTTGTTGCTCTTGTAGAAGATACGACCCATTGTCTTCACTAGCAGTGCTAACTTGTTCATCCCTCACTGCTGAACTGCCTTCCTGTGAACCAAACATACTTTTATTACATTTATTGTCAGGGCTTATGTACTCTTACCAGTTTTTATAATGGTAAAGTAATAAGAGTTATTAAAAAATTGTTTACAAATATCCAGTTGTACTTTAATCGTTCAGCTCTTTGGACTGTACACAGGTTCACCTGAGCAAAGACAGGCAGTGTCTTCGTAATGTTCATAACTTCTGGTTACAATTAATATCCTAGAATGTGACTTATTATTTATAACAAATACCATTTCTCAAATACATTCAGTTAAATGTGTTAAGAGAGAACACTCTCAGAAAAATATCTGTGAATAGCTTCAAAGATATTTAGACCACAACAACCATAATCGAGACTTTTATATTTTACTTTTCTCAGTAAGGAGCAAAACAACTGCCTCATGCTTGACTTTAGGGTCTGGAACCAGCACAGAAAATTTCTTCTCCTTCCCACTCTCTGTTTTAACAAGTTTCTAAAGCATATCTAGGCAATGGTACAACAGTTGAACAATGGAAAAAGGACATTCCACTATTTTATTATTTTGCCATTAATGTTAATATGGGGAACTTCAAGGGTCTAACCCTGAGTCTCTAAATGTAGGCTTTCAATCACTGGCAATTATAAAGAGACAATGATTAAATTCAGGTAGGTAATACTAGAATGACCCGTTCTCCCTTCCCATCAGCATTATTACACTCACTAACATCACTATATTGAACAGAAGAATTCAGAATTAATTAATTCATGATTAATCCATTTGAAATATTTTACTGGATTTTTCTGTGGAATAAGTGTAACACTTTATTGTATTATTTCATAAAGGCATATGTTATCACATGTTTTCATTCTTAGTGTGCTGGTCTTCCTCTACGGACATATTAGAGATTGGTCAACAAACCTTTGGACAGCCTCTAAGCATACACATCACTTCATGGCTCTCACCAGCCTAAACAGAGCCTCTGACAGGTAAATAACTGTATACATATTACAAAAGATATTTCAGCTTTAAAGAGAACTAAATGATTTTCTTTCACAGTGATCCTAACCTTATCTCACTTTGACTATGATACTTCTCAGTGTGACACCGCTGTCATTTGACGCAGATAGTGACCTCACTTCTAATGCCTCTTTTGTAAAAGTCAAGTCTGGAATTTTATTGCCCAGCCATTTTGTCCCACTGAGCAATCAAGGCACATGGGAATGCAAGATGCTTTTACAATATCACTGCAAAATAATTTGGATCGAAGCGCTGGTCCACTCCTACTACAGATGTTAATATATGACAAAGAGCTGCACTGATTGTGTCTGGTAGATGTACATATGAGGGATACACTTTTAGAAAATATTTAAGTGCTGACTACTAGTTGATACATTTACAGCTAAGTTAGTCTTCATAGTGCCATGACTCTCAATTCCTGAAGTTTTCTGTGTAACACTGGATGTATTTACTATCAACATGAATGTTAAGTATCTTAAAAATGTGATTTATATAGTTGACAACTACAGAGAATGTAAGAAAAACAACATCTAGTAAACAATTATCTCCTAAATCTACAGTGCAAGTAAACCAATCATCTTAGTTAGAACTGTTCGTAGACTTAAACTCATAAAACTTAATGTACAAAATTGAAATGCCTATGTTTTAACAGTTATATATGAAGTATACAAGCATGGGAAAAAACAATTGCACTATGCTGCGTCATATAAAATTACAGGACAAAATTAGTTTTACTGGCTTCATGACTTTTTCAAAGTGAGTTGATGGTGTGCATATTTTCAAGCTCATTCTGTGAGGAGGCATAAAGCCAGCTTTCCCTTTTAGCAACAAAACCCAACTACACAGCTTTCACACTTCGAGTGTTTGAACTGTGCTTGAAGAAAATGGATGTGTTTGACTGAATCCCATCTCCTAACAAGCACAAAATAAACCTGGAACACATCACGTTTAGTGATGTGGGGTTTTTTAATATAGCACTTCTGAATGCTGCTTAGTCATGAAATTATTTTTCAGCTCAGTTTAAATGTTTTCAATGCTTTTATGTGACATTGGTGCACTGCTTTTTTTGTGAATGTTTTCACCTGAATTATCAGGAAGCATAGTGATTTTTATAAAGGGAGCTGCAGAAAAACAATGAATCCAAATGTAATGCCAGTCTTGGTAAGAACTATGAAAATGTAAAAATGAGTTACAGCTGAGAAATTACCACAAGCAAACAATGGAGAAGATAAAAGTTCCATTGTGGTAAATTTCATTCTGCAAAATCCCAGCTTATGTATTGCCTTTCCCTTTTGAAATCTTAACAAAAACCATCTATCCTATGGGGAAAAAAATCATCCAGATTAAGGTTCCTTCCTCACCCCAAATTCTATTAGAACAAAAATGCGTGTTGTAGACAAGCAGGTGGAGCACTAACAGTACAATTTGTTTGACAGTCTAAGCATGGGTGCTCTACAACAGCCGAGACAGTATTATCAACCACAGTGTAACCAAACACTTTTAAAAAAAGCATATAGATAATGATTATGGAAAAATACAAAAAATATGGGGAAAAGCTACTCTATAGAAGACACAGTATTACACTTTTAGTAGATGAGGATTTTATCACAGGAAACCAGTGACCCAACACTTCCCACTGTTGTACTCTGTCTTTTGTTCTTACCATTATCTTCAACAAATATTAGCTAGGTGGGTCGTTTGACCGTTAATGAGTGATTTCTGTGGTAGCAAGCAGGTAGGTTAGAATGTATGTTCTGAACCCCAAGTCACTTCAACCACTCAGTCAACTGTTTAAATCAAGTTGGCTGAAGACTTGTTCTTAAGCGTCAACTGTGCACTGATTATTCACAAACACAAAGGAATAGCTTAATTTTCTGGAAAAGTCAAAATAAAATGTACCTTCTGTTAAAGATAGGATTAGTAATGCTTATATCCAAATAAAAGTAAGATTGCCAGGAGCATCAATACTTTTAACTGCAGAGATAAAAAAATCCACCTGAGCCAAGCCAAATTCAAGAAAAAAACCCAACATGCTGAGTTTTTAGCTGCAGCTGCTAAATACTGTAGGAATTCTAGTACATGAGAGTTTTATTTTAAATAAGATTTTAAAATTTTAAATTAATAAGAAGATTTTAAAAACCAAGAAACTGAAGTACTCACAGATTTGCAGGCAGCCATTAGCTTGAAATCTGTCTCAGTCCACATAGGCCTTTCCAAAAAAGTATACCACTAGCATCTGTGGTCCTTTTTAAAGGATTATTTAATGGAGCCAACTGCTAACACAGCTGGCCTGAGGTTTTATTCCCATGTAGCACCAATCACATTAACCCAAAGAAAGCAGAAAAAAAAGGGGGTGGGGGTGGGAAATAAGGTATTTGAAAGAAAATGTTGCTCAGGAAGGATTTCAACCACATCAGGTACAAGCATCTTGAATATTAGCCTATTTTCATTCATCACCACGAAATGATCAATACCAGCCCTTCAGGAATATTTTTAACCTGCGGTAAGTTCCCTCAGTCCATCCCAAGTAGTTTTCACACCAAGAAAACGTTATGTAAGAACATTCCAACAGGTTAGAAATATTAAAAGCAAATCAGATAATCAGTATAACAGATGAAAACTCAGTTGAAAAGAAAGCCAAAGTTGCTACTAAACACTAGAAGGAGCCCAAATCAGCCATGCACCAGCCCACATTTCTCCCCACCTCAGGCAGCTGGTTGCTAGAGTTATCTAGAGAAGCCTCCAAACTTGGGGTCTCAGTTCTGATTTGAAGCACCTCTTCTGTTCCCACACTGCTAGTGGAATCTTGAGACTGAAGTGATAAACCAGCATGATCCGATATTGTTTCATCTATTGCAGAATCACTGTTTAACTAAGAAAAGAAAGAAACATATAATTCTTCATAGTTAATCAAACAAATTACAGGGAGGAAAACACATTAGTTTTCAGATAGGCAGTTTCATTACGGTCAGCTACTTGAATTTCTGTAACATTTAACTTGGACGAGAAGTTTGCAGTTATCCTTGGGATCCCGAAAATTATTTCCTTTCTTGTTCTTAAAGGTACTGGTGAAACACTAGACTGAAAACATCGAAGAGCAGAATTCTTTGTCATGGGAAACATTAATATAAACTTCGGCTGAAGTCTGAAAAGTGTCATATTATCCCTGCTGCTCCCTATCCAGTCGATTTTTTCCTAATTTCATTTATGTAATGCTGAGAGACTTCTGAGCGGCCAGCTTTCTTGATTTTCCTCAGTTATAAGTACACATGCTTCAAAATCCTACCAACTTCGATGGTTAAATGCAACTGAGGCTCCCACAGGATCACTTACTGCTCTTGTTCTTATTTAGTACTTTTTCTTGCGGGAGGGTGGGGGGGAGTGTCAAAACTACAAATCCACAAAGACACACACTTATATATGAACACATGCAATTCTGCGCTTATATTTAAACAAGTATGTTAAGCATAAATACACTAAAAGATGAATGTTGTACTAGAAATATGAACCTGTTATGTACCACCAGTAGGTAAAGTAACTCCTCTTCCCAGATGTTGTTACAAAAAAGAAGCTTAGCTCCTCTTCAGCTCACTTAGGCTGAAGGTGTGAGCCACACTTATCCATTAAAAGTGGAAGTGAAAGCTTAAGTTCCCAGATTCCTTTCACAGAAAAATAACTTACCATCTGCGAACGAGATAGTATCTGACTTGCAGTCAGGGCTGCTTCTTCTTCTGAAGACTCATCAGTGTCTTCCTGGTTGGTCAAGTTCAAGCTGGGTGTGCTACCAGAGTACTGACATTCTTGAAGAGATGGTGTGTCTCCTTTGTCAATGCTGTCAAGGGAGCGCCTACGAACGCCCCAGTTGAAGTTGTCCATGCTTTCACCCTGTAATAAAATTTCCACACATATGTACATACCAATTTCAACCTAAAAAATTTAATACATAAATGCAATGCAGACAACACAAGTACTGAATACACTATGAACAGAGTTTCAATCAGCCCTTTAATTTTATCAAAATTTTAAATACCTTGTTAAATTATGTTTGTAGGTAAATTAAAATATATGGCAAATGAAGTAAAAATCTTTTGAGTATCTTCTTGGAAAGTAACTCTACATAATCTAGAACTATATCAGTACCAATTTTATATATCTGACTAGAAAGTACAAACACACCACAGACAACAACAGATGAACAAGCCAGGCCACCAGGCTGCAACTTACCTGCAGCTCCTGGTTAGCAAAAAGGAAAACACATATAATTAGAAAGAACGAGGACAAACACTTAAAGATACTCTAGAACCAGGGAAAAATGTTTTATTACATAAGATTTGCCAACAGTAAAAGACTGATTCAAGCTCTGAGAAAAAGCTTTGGTCAAAAAGGTAGTATTTTAGATAATCTCTTTCTAATGGGAGATTGATTAAAAAAATAAACAAACTGACAACAAAACACTAAAACCAGCATGCTTATGATACATTTTCTCTAGCATAACATGTAAAGCAACTGCTTCAACAAACATTAGATGAAATTCTTTAACTAACACACATGAATCTAAACTGACCACATTTGACTGACAAAGCACCATCGACATTAATACACGTTTTAGAAGAAAACGATACCGTCTTTAACACTTTTACCAGTAACTCGTGTCAGTTTTACGAAACGCACCCTAAACACCGAAAGCTTTATCCTTTCTGTTCGCACGTTTTCAAGTTGGCATACTTGGGTTTAAAACATCCCACATACTAAGTAAAATCTGTATCTTATAAAACCCCTATTCTAATTCACACGTGCGGTAACGATCTTTGATTTTCTCAAGCACTTCGTCAACCGTCAACAATTCATCTAAGTAAGACTGAAAACCTCATCATTTCACTTCACCAGTCTACAGACAGTTACTAAAACACCACATCTAGCCCCAAATGTGCAAGTATGGGTTCCAAAACTGCTCTAACAGAGGTCACTCATGCCGAGGAAACTAAACATTTTGTACTCTCTTTCTTAGAGATTTGTTTTGCTCCAGAAAAGTTGAAAAGTTATGGCAAAGTAAAATCCCACCTACAACAAAGTACTACTACTATGGGCTGAAGCTCTTAAGTTTGATATGAATACTACTCAGATTTTAATGCAAAAGCCCCAGTTCCTACTGTTGAACATTCTGTACTTTTGGTGCAAAACTAGGCAGCTCACATATCAAGTGTACAATTTATATGCAATACGTCCTAAATTTATGCAATCTGCGCTTTTTATTTTTCTTTTTCTTACTTTTTTCCCCCTGAAGTATAGCACTACATGTTTCATGCAGGCAAATAATGAGAAAGAAACTGTCTTTTCTTCATTACGATCTGCTATTGAAATAATATAGAAAATGAAGTTAATAATTAACTTGGTTTGGCAAAGTTTTCAACTTTTGGCATTCCACCTGTGAAGCCCCATCTAGTGTAAAAATAATGTTTTCTACTACTAAGCCTTAATTCTAAACTGTTTGACCACTTGCATTCAATATAGGAAATCATGTCTGAATAGTGCATGGTCATATATATGCAACAGACCATGATGAGCCTGTACTTTTCCTAAGAAATGAAATACTGGCTGAAGTGAAGCAATACACAGGAAGCACGAAGAAAGTAAGATAAACCAAAAGTATTAGAGGGGGAAAAAAGTGCAAGATTTTGTAAAAACGGCTAGATTAAGCAGGAGAACAACAATCTTAATGTTTACATAGGCAGATATTCTTCTTTGTAGCTTGTTGATACATGACCTGAAAAGGTCTCCACTACTAATTCAATATTTTGTATAGACTGTAACAACAGGACTGGAAGAAACTACACAGCATTTTATTTCTTCTCCTCAGACCTTTTACAGTCATACTCTTAAGCTTCAGCAAACTCTGCTCTGAAGCATTTTATTTATCCCAATCAAGTAACAATTGTTCGCAGAATCTTTACTATTTCTCAATATTTAATTTTGTTTTACCACTCCTCTCTCTCTCGACAGAAGGGGAAGTGGAGAAAGTGTAAGGACTGCAACAAACCAGATGTAACGTAGAAGTCAGTGCAAGCAGTTACGGTGACTAAGTCAATTGCATATAACGAGATAGTGTATAATACAGTTTGCAACTTTGAAAGCTATTTTTCATGTTTTAAAAATGCAAAAACATACCAGGAACAAAGATAACGCCATTTCCTTAACATACTGTTCCATAATTAAGTTTTCTACTGCATGATATCCAGTTGTTCATCCTGTTATTGGCTTATTCTGTTGTATCACTTCACTTTCAGATTGTTACTTAACACCTCCCCAAAACACCCCAACTGTCCTCCAAAAAACCAATAACAATATGTAAGAACTTAACCCTGCAATTTTTGACACAGGTTTCTATATCATGCAAGGTAAGTTCAATCATGCCATAAATTTTTCCCAATTGGATTGGTTAGAAGAGCTGCCAATTCCTTAGAATTGCACCAACATAACCTGATTTTTAAAATGTTCTCAAATGGAAATACACAGAAGAAATCCCAAGGTCTCACCTCTGCATCCTCCAATTCAACATCTAAAAAGTCAAAGTCTTTAAAAACTCCAAACTGTTGTTCACTAGTGTTGTCTTCTACAGCCACTTCCTCCTCTTGAATCACTTCTTCTGTTGCTGAAATAAGACTAGTTTGCTGATCTCCAACTTCCAAGTCTTCACTAGAAGAAAACACAACCTGCAGATATGGGTAAAAATAGAAACAAAAACTTAGAACTTCTGTCACTCCATGAGACAGCTATCCTGCTTCCCGCAATTTAACGGCACAGGTAGCAGTTAGCGTACCACTATAATGATCATACTAGGGCAAGTACAGACTGCAATTTGTTTTGAGATTAGTTGAATCTTAAACTAGATCTTTGAACTAGTGGTATCACTCCCTCCTTAATATAACTGAGAGTTGCAAAGGTATAGAAAAAGGCAAAAAAATATCCCTGAACCTTCATTTTCATAACCACAATATTAGTCAAACTTAAGTATAAAAAATCCACGATAATAATCACCCAAATAACACAGGCCATATAATTTTTACCTCCCCATTTGTGTGGAAGGACTGTATATCTTGAAAATGGTATGCAATGGCGGCTTCCAGTGACTATAATATTCACAATTTGCTCTTTATTTTCATTTACATTTTAAAAAAATCTCTTCAGCTTCACCTTCAGACATCTCATTTAATTTATATTAAGCTCCTCCACTAGATTAAAGATCCACTCCCACCAATGTTTTTAAACAACTAAGAACTTCTATGTCACAATAAAGCCCAGTATTTTAGATGATAACGAAGGTAGGCTATCCTTTTATTTTAAGAGCTCTTAACGTCATCACTGTCATTGAACTTAGTATGCCAAGTGTCTTTTCTATGCTTTAAAACACAGTCCTCACCCTACAAGACTTGACCTAAGTTCACCAAGACAGTAACATTAGTCTTGGCTGAATTTAAGTACGATTTGAGGCTTGTCTAGTGAAGAATGGTGCCTACTGAATTTCTTGAGAAATAAAAGTAATTCAATACTTATCATTCCATCTTTTTTTAATTCTTCAACTAGATTTGTGAACTGTTGAACCAAAACCAGTTTGTCAAAAAACTGCTCTTGCTAACTTCACCAATACCTGAAAATGCAAAGCATTCTCACTACTGGGAATTAAAAACCAAAACAAACCATCATCACCACTTACTGAAGGATTCTTGGGAAGACCAGATTCTGGACCACACAGAGAAAGTACGTTCATTAACTTCTCCCTAGTTCTTCTCTGAAAAATATACCAAAGAAAAAACATGTATAGCAAGGCATCTGCTGCATGGCCAAGTAAAAATGAAAAAGGTTTGCATTTTTATCTAGTCATCTCACATGGTGAGATCTTCTGAAAAGAATCTTAATATTTTTTCTTTTCACCAGTAAGAGCTTTCACTTTATGCTATATTCATTTACTGTTTTGTTAAGACACAATGCAGACTTCAAATAACACTTCAACAAATTTTTTTTACACCTTCATGAACACTATCTACAATAGAAGTACAATGCGTTTGAGACACAATATACCTGAGACAGCTGTGGTCTCTTCCAGCTGACAGGAACCAATGCATTTGAATTGGAGCCTGATGAAGTTGAAGAAGTGCTCCGGGTGACAGCAATGACTTTTGGCTTCCCATTTCTACCAGCTGCGCTGTGTTGATCACCATACTTATTCCCAATAATTGGTGTCTATCAGAGACAACAAGTACAACTTTAAAATTCAAATCCGTATTAGTAAAGACTACACATTAGATTTCTGAGTTTAGTATTATATAAAAGGTATCACGGTTTGTCTGTTTGCTTGTTTTTAAGCGTTCTATGAAGCTCATGCCTAATCCACCAAGCACAGGTACACTGGGAAATGTAAAGCTGAATGCTTCTACCCTGCACAGCAGGCTGCCATTCTGCCCACTTGTGGTTTTTGAATTATGCAAGTTTTATGCTGACAATCTAGTTATATTTTTCAAACACATTTTAAAAACTGCTTGACAGATTCATTCACAGACATGAACAAATTGTTTGCACAGAGCAGCAGCTTCACTAACACATGCACACTCCGGAAAACCAACGATCACATTCAGATTTTGACAGCAAATGCCACTCCAGTTAATTCTGTGGGATTTTATCTTGTCTCTCAATTATCTGCCTGCACTGAAAGTAAGGAATTCACTTACCAATTTAAGTTACAGTCCTAAGACATCTCTATCTCCAATCATTACCTAGGGTCAGCTTCAACCAGGAGCCCCTACTTTTGCTTATATCTAAAGTTTCTACAATTTTCACATCCCTATATTACATTGCAGTCATTTGGCTACACTCCCCTTTTCAGATATAGAATATCAGCTGTATTAATATATTATTTTCAGTTCTAATGAAAACCCTAATTGGGGGGAAATGATGGTGCTTTAAACTACTCCAGTTGTGTCCATCTCACTCTGAGGTTCTATATTCTGTATCCTACTCTCTCCTCTAAATCTTCTCCCTCTTCCAAAGTCACACCAAAATGGCAATACAGGGTTTTAATCCTCTTAGCCCTTAGAAGCACAACCCTTCATTTGATGAAAGCCTGGAACGTTCAGCTGCAAACAGCAGCCAGCTGCACTAGCCTGCTCTCCGACACAGCTGAAATACCCTTGAGAATAATCCTATTGACTTTTAGTAATTAACTCTCCAGACATTCAAAGCAGGGAGAAGGCGAAAACACAACAGAAAAGAATTCAAAGTTTATCTTTCAGTAGGACTGTAATTACATGCATGTAAAACTTCACTGTCTGCCATTCTTAAAAAACACATTTACGTATGTGAACGTAGAAGGGTAACAGAAAACGAAACTGAGTCTGCATCAGAAAGTTATCACTGCATTGTAATTTAAATATAATAATTACCTCTGATATATCAAAATGAAAATCTAAGGTCTTCCCAGGTAGCTCCTTGGAGACATTATTAAAAATTTTCGTGAAAGAGATTTCAGGAGAACCTATGTCACCTCCGTACGACTTGGGAATATCATTAGGTACAACAAGGCTTGCTGACCGAGACACCACCAGTTTCAAAATATTAAGGGCTTCCTTCCAGTACGGACTCTAAAGAGAATGTACACAAATCACAAAACAATCACGTCAAACAAGACAACCATTTTTTTAAGTACTGTAGATTTTTGCATCGATTCATTGCAGGACTCCCAAACCTAAAAGCTCCCATCTTCCATTCATGGCCGCAAGGTGCTAATGCAGGTGGGGCAGCTTCGGACCTTGGAGTGCCAGGAAGGCAACAGCAAGGTACCAGCTCATCCCTTGGCAGGCGGTCAGGCACCAGGCTCTGTGCCATGTCCCTCGTGCTCCCTGTATTTACACTGCCTTTTTTACCACTGTCTGAAGTAGCTGCCGCCATCATGCCCCAGAAGATAAAAATTGATAATGTTTTAAAGCAAAACAATTTCCACCTCCTGGCAGCTTTAATTATTCTACACTTACAGGCAAAGTAAACTGAATTTGAAACAGACAGAAATATTTTGTGCTTTCTATTTCTCACACATTTGGAAGATCTTGGGGAAAAAGGAAAAAATAATAATAAAGAAAAAGCAAAACCATGTACAGTATCAAATCAAGAGAGTGCTTAAAGCCAGGGCAAAAGCATGAGAACATAAGAGGCAGAACCTGAATTAAATGTACTGTCTTTAAAAAAAATTATTAAGGTAATGTAAATAAGTGAGTGGTTTTAACTACAGAGGTTGTGGAGTGAATCACACAAGAGAGTGAATCACACCGAAAGCAGCACCTTGGGAGTGCTAAAATTTACAATCCTGGAAATATTAGGATTCTACCTGAAACTTAAATCTTCCAGCAGGATGCCTGCTTCTTTTTTAGTTGATGTTTTCTTAATTAGGATGCCATATTTCTTTAAATATTTCTTTACTGCTTTAAAAAAATTAAACATCACTTTCAAGGCTCTAAGTAGTATATGCTTCTCCTGAGATTCTGTGCATTATAAACATAAAATAAGTAGTCTCAAACCTGAATCACCCTGTAGCAACATAAATTTATTAAGGTGCATTGTGATTGCGGAGGACTAAAAAAAAAAAGAGCTTAGTAGCACCACATTTACACAAGACATGTTCTTTTATGATCTTTTATTATTTATAGTAACGTGGTTTATCATGTCAAAAATACATAGGCTCCTCTGGAATATTTTTCTTTTGCTACTTACCATTATTTTGATAGCTAACATCATCTAATTCAGATTACATTCCACAGTAGTGTGGGCTTTCACAGAAAGCTCAGATAAAGGTTAGAGGCGAAGCAAGCAGCTGTCAGGCCATGAAAACTACAGTTATGCTGATCATTCCATTTTGCCTAATGCATTCTGACAGGAGCACAATATCTAAAGTACATATCCACCAATAACAAAACAGCCAGGGAACACTACTTTTCCTAGTTAATTATGATTAAACCATTTGACTGAAATACATTTGGCAATAATGGAATTCAGGAAAAAAAGAAAAGGAGGGAGTGGAAGAGAATGCTGTGCACTGAAACGGCTTTATGCTCCAGGCGTTTTTATAAAGTCTTTCAGCAAGATGCTAGACCTTCTTCAGTGAAATAGATTTTTAGTACATTGTGTTCCACATACAAAGGATTAAACTACCTAGGGCAAAACACTGTTGTTCATCCTTTGGGGATAAAAACCACACTCAAATTCATTAAGATGCAGCTTAGTGTTCCTCACATATGTATTAGCTAAAACAATTTAAAATATGCATTTAACTATAAAATTTCTTTCTGAAAATAAACAAAGCATTTGTGCAGTATTCAGCAGTAAATGTTTCCTTGTGTTTTTACAGAAGGGTCATCTCCTCTAACTAGATATCTAGAGTTGCTTATATCTGTAAATAGAAGCACATTCACCCAGGTAATCCGCCCCACAAGATGTAAATCAAATTGGACAAATACATAAGCACATACTGAATGAAGCACATAGGACAAAAAATAAAACACTACAGAATCTGACTCCAAACAATTGTTTTTATATGTGAAATAAATTAATTTGCCCCAAAATTCAAGTGTAATTTCACTACCACTTTGACAATAAGCAGAAAGGCTTTTCTAGTTTTTCAGAGTACCTACCTGAACATATTTACCAATAACTTTTATGATTTCCAAATTGAACTGCTTCACTGGTGCTGTGGATAGGTCAATATGACTCAGAAGACTGTAAATGATCTGCAGCAAGGACTGTTGCATACTGGATAACCCTTTCTCTAACAGCTAAAAAAAGTTTTTAAAAATACAGAATTTAATTAGGGCCCTTATGGTAGCAAAAAGTGAAAACAAACATTATAATACAGCTAACTTCCATACGTATTAATTTTCTCCTTCAAGAAACTTGTGTTTTTCAAAGTTTTGTTTTATCTGATTTAATGCTAATATAATAGAACAATGTTCTCTGTCCTAATTAAATTTTTCCCTGAATTTTGACATGTTAGCACAGATTTAAAGTACACAAAGAAAACACTTCTCACTAAACAGAATTGTTCATACAAATTCAAAATCTCAAAGCTTAAATAAGGCAGGTAAACACAATCTGTCAAACAAAGTAAGTATATACACAGTCATTCATGACAATGTACAAATATTTTAAAAGATATTTTCATCTGTTTGAAGTGATACTTCAAGGACAAGCTCTACAAGCTTTTCACACAAAGTAGTTTTTCAAAGGTAGTTACAGTTTTCCTGCATGAACAGCTGGCAGAATCACATACTGAATTCTCTAACTTACATGATCTCTGATTATATACTACAATACTTAGAACTGAACTTCCAAATTATTTTTAAGTTGTGATAAGGACATCTTTTAAGTACATGCTTGGCTAAAAAAGATCTCTTAAAATTTGCACAAAGTATATTTTGCTAAAGGCAAGACAGTGTGTGCATTTTATGTAGTACAGAATATAAGTATCTACTACAAAACGCTGCTATGATAAAAAGGGATCTTTCATTAGAGGAATTATCATTTCAAGGTACATTTAAATTGTTGCATCCAAACTGGCAGTAGCCATCCCTTTCCTATATCCTAAACATTTTAATATTATTCTCCCTTCATGGAAGATGTGCTTTTCACCCCCCCACAAAATATTCAGAATCATGAAAAATAAGAAATTTGCAATGAATAAATGGAATGTTCATCACAGATTGTCAAGAAGAGACACATTTTTACTAAAAATTTACCTCTGCAAGATAAGTTACGAGGTTAAATGTGGCATCTGAGAAAGAGTCATGCAAGTATCTACACACTACGTTAATCCAGTTAGAACAGTCTCTGGAATAACTGTGTGTACTGTACAAACTCATCATATGAGCCAGATTGGCCAGAGTTGGTGATTTCTCCTCTGCACAAACCTGAAAAGCAAAAAGTGTATTTAATTATATTAAAAGTGACAAATTTTTAACCTAAGCATTCACTAGTCATTCCGCACCTTCCCCAGATTTCACTGCATTTTCTAATAACTGAAATCAAACTAATCCCACAAGCAACACGTACAGTTCCTGTTGAATTTTGGTATCGTGGCATCCATCCTCCAAGCTGATTGCTAACTCCTATCAGACTTACCTCAACTACTGTCCCTAGCTAGTAGCTCAACTATTTAAGGGACAGCAGTAATTTCTGGATTTGTATCATGCCATTTACTCCTTTGAGACAGCCTGCACATAGTTCTGTAACAAACATGTCACAGTCTGGGCAGCCAGAGGGCTGGGATTGCATCTCCCATGACAGAAATTTCCACTTTCTTCCTTAAAATGCAGCCTGTGAGGTCAGCACACCACCAGCCTGGCTGGAGATTGCTGGTGTGTAGCCTGTATTGCTTTAACAGACACTACAGTTCAAAAATATTCCAAGGGTAATCGTTGTGTACAAGTCATAGAAAGGACATACTACCTTTTATTCTCTGCCTACCAGTCCCAAAGGTAAGGATCACTTCTTTCTCATACTTATATTAGGAAGTGTGCTTAAAAACTAATTGAGTTCACATTCAAAATTACAAACTGAAAAATCAGACAAGTTAAGAAAAGTAACTGATATCATTAACCAGGAAATCTGTTCATCACATCTAAGTTCTATAGAATAAGCTAAATGTGTTTTTCATTGACAAAGGGGAACTTGGGGGCTGATATGAGGTCCAACTACATAAATTAGGACTGGTTCACATCTTTAAAATATGACCTTTTATAGTTATTTATGTATTACTACTAGAATCACAAAAAACTATTACATAGGAAAGCAAAAAATACAGAAACAATGCTGATATAAACTCCTGGATACTTTTCAAAGCATTTTACATACCTTTGCTATCCTGTCAGCTGTTTCTTTACAAAACTGAGTTGGATTATCAAAATGTTGGATCAGATGAGGAAGCAGGCACAAGATGTTTAGGGGAAATCCTAAACACATACATAAATACAGTTAAATGAGCCCTGAAGTTAGGATTTAATTTAATTACAGTTATGTGGTATTTAAGAACACTTACAGCATGACACATTCACACAAATATAAAAATTAAACATATACCTAAGTCTGTACATATGTAGAATGTATATAAATGCATCTGTGTCAGGTATAAACATGCACAAGATGAAAATAAAAGTCAAGACTGGGACAATTAAGCAAAACTATCATGAAACTGGACAGCTTTAGGCAGTACAGTCACATTGTTTCTAAAACGTGTAAATGTTTGAAAGTACTCATTGAGCTAGTTTACACTAAATCGTAAAGAAGTGATATACATTCTCTTAAAATTCACTTGTAAGTAGGTTTAAAGTTAATAGTCAATACATAAAGCTTACAGGGAGTATTTCTTGACAGATAATCACAGTCTATAATGTATTCCCACTGTCTGCTACCATAATATCAACAACTGCAAAAAACCCATCTAACTGAAAGGTGTTTTTTAAGGCAAATGCATAATTACTACTGATTTTGATTACATTTAATTTGATGATAAAATGTATTTTCACTACACATACATTTACTAAAGATACCTGCTAACTGAGAAGGATCCACCAAAGCATGCCTGGAAATTGTGATGAGTTTACTGAGGAGATGAACTGTCATTTCTTGCGTGGATGCTGAAGTAAAGCCTTTTAGGAAAAGCTGCTGAAGGCCTGGAAAATTATTCCATTTCAGTTTATTCTGCACCTTTTCTATCTTTTCCCGGCTCTCCGATTTATCCAGAGGCAAGTGAATAAGAAGCTTGTTGAGCAGCTTGAGAGCCAAAAGGTATTCATACTCATAATCTGACTCTAGCAACGAAGCTGCAATCCAAAAAATGGTGGCCATCAAGTTGACAGGGTCAGTAGTGGGCTGCACATCATACATCCCTCCCTCTCGCAGGGAGGAAAGGCTTCGAGTCCTGGCCAAACTTCCACCATGATTTATCCTTCCATCCATTATATCCAGTGTGTTGCTCCGCCGACGGTCGCCTCTCCGCTCGCTGATGAAATTCAGTCTCAAAGAATTACTCCTTGTATTGCTGTAGTATCCCAAACAACTGCCGCTACTAATGGGGCTTGTGCTTAGATTTATCTGTCCAGTGCTTTTCCTGTTAGCTGCATACTTGTTTCCCATTACAGAATCATGGTATGAGGTTCTAAAAAACAAAAAACCAAAATCAGTGTTACCCCTTATTCCATGCAAAATACTTTAAATAACATACACTTTAGAAAAAAAAGACGTTACACTAATCACCTATATGCACACACAGTGAATGCTCTGCTTCATCCCCAGAGTAGTTTTATAATACATGACTGTATACAGACTGTAGCATCCTGTTATCTCTGCTATTAAATCTATTTGTCGCAATCCCAGAATACCAAAATAATTACACAACAATTCAGTAAAATCTGGAAAATTAGTCTACGGCCTGTAAAATATTATCTGGAAATGAAGATCTAGCATTCCAACTTAGTTATAGATGTGATAAATGTAGAAAAATGAATGAATAAATGGAATTATTTACTTATACCTTAAACCTGTCTCAAGTATCTGACCTAGAAAAAGAAACATCTTCCATTTCTGAAATTGAATATATTACTATAAATCTTAACATTTTAAAAACTTTGCCAGAAGTCAAACAAATGAAGATGTCTGTATATGCAGGGGATTTTTTCCATTTGATAAGAAGTTATTGAACTAACTACTCAAACTGTAACAAGACAGGCAAATGACGTAGACTGTTCAATTACATTTCTCTCATATATGGACAATGAATCTGAGGCCTAAGGCAGACTAGCAGTTGCAGTAACTGAAGAAATTTACTCTGTATTAACACTGGAATAAAAGTATTTATTGCAGTACAGGAGTTTTTATCTGTGAACCTGAAATTATCTTTTGAAGATTGGTACAATTACCTTCCTTATACATATGGGGAAATATAAGACTGCAAAAAAATTAAACTATTAATTCAGATCAATAGCACATGATTAAAACCCAAAAGTGCTAAATGTATCCAGTGCCTTTATTTTTGAGAAGTTCCAGAAGAATTTACTACATTTCCGAATTGAGCCCCAAGGAACATCTTGAATATATTTTTATTTTTTTTAAATTGGACCCAAGGGGGTAAGTTGGAAAGGTAGCAGAAATCCTTTTCAGAAAATACAGATTCTTACGAGTTTTGGTTGATGAGGAATGACAAAATCATTTAAAAAGTAAGCAAATTTGCTCTAAAGACACAACTATTCTGCAAAGACAAGAAGAAATTATTTCATTACATTTCTAATTCAGATCTTTAATAATGCAAATGTCTAAAAAAGTGTAACATAGCTTGGCTAATAAAAGAACTTACTGAGAAAGGGCAGAAAGCAAATCATAATGCTTCATGGTTTCAGCCAATGTATCAATTGCAGATTCTAAGGTCAGAAGAAGTTCTATGACAAAACCCTGGGGAAAGCCACAGGTCATTATAAATTATGCAATGTGCACAAGGAGGATGACAGAAAAAGATCAACTGAGAAGTGATATAAAAATATATAATCAGTATCAGTAACAAATTTATTATTTCATGCTTTATTTAGAACACAATCCTGATGAAACAGGATCATTTAATTAAATGAAAATTCAGAGTCACGATTAAAACTGTTTTGATATCTGAAATATCTTTAAAAATAAAAAGAATCTGAATTTAAAAAACGCTTTTAAATTTTACTGTAATTAAAATAATAATTCAAGTATGTCCTTTAGGCAGACTTATCTCTTTAATAAAGTGGGGGGAAAATTTCAAATACCTGAGCTTCTTCTCCTGCATCTCCAACAGTTTCTACAAGTCTGGAGAGAACATCGGAAAGTGTAGATGCAGTAAGAGGCTGCTTCAGAGCCCTGAAGATCTGAAAGGACCTCCCAGCATAATGTCGAGAGGAACATGAAAGCGCAGTTTGCAAAGCAACTTCACTGAGACGGCGTTCCAACTGAAATCCTCCTATAAAAGCAAATAAATGCTCAAACAATACATTACTTCATTTAAAAAAAAAAACCAAAAAAACCACCAAACCACACTTGAATTTAATGAAGAGTAAATCACCAAAGCCATTCCTAACTTTAAAATACTCTCACTTTCTAAATTTTTCTCAAGAAGTATTACTCTTAAAAATCTTTCCAGGCATGTAAGCTTGTGTTCCATAACACTTCACTGGAAAGGCTTGTAGAGAATACAACATTTGATTTGAATATTAATTGTCCATAGTAATTGACAAGACATTTTATCTAATTCCTAAATGATGGTATCTAAACATGTCTTAATAGAAACAAGAAGTGTGCAATACACAAGAAAAACCTATTAATCAGAAGCAGCAATCGATCACCTAGAGTCATTTTATAGATAAACTATAAATTTACAGGTATTTCAAAAAATTCATTTAGTTTGCAGATTTGGACATTCTATCATGCATATACTGTTTTCTAACATACCTGAGCTAGATTGTTTAAATATAGATACCACATGCTTTAAAAACACAGTTAATTGTTCAGCACTCTTTATATTAGGGTTCCTGGCTGAAACATCTTCATGATTCCAAAGTGGGCCTCTTTTCCTAAAAATATAAAAATAAAGAGAATATAATGCATACCCTTTGTCATTAGTATTCTTTAAATGTTATTTTAAATTTAAGGTTAACTGCAAAAGAATCTACTATTTACCACATAAAAGAAACCATTTAAAACTGCAAACACAAACTGAAAAAAGCTTCCCAACTGTCCAATACTATACAACAATATACAAGAAGTTAAGACAAGCTGAAAAGAAATATATATGATCCAACTGAAATAACAGCATAAGTTTAGGAAGAGATATTCTCTGTTAGATTAATATTTAGTTACCTAACAAAGAACTAGTACAACTAACACCATTACACACTTCTTACTATTCTAAATCTAGGCTGATACAAAGCATAAGTAAAAAAATGCTTTTGAGAAATTGGCAGGAATTCAGATTTACACACTCTTGAAAGCTTTATATAAGCTACTGTACAAACCGCACAAGTGTCGATGGTTTTAGATGCTCTTTGCCACAAATTCTTGGTAATCCATACCTTAGGTAATCCATATACTCCACACAAATCCTGCAGGTCTCTAATCATCTTTATGTGTTAAACCCTAGTCCTTTAGACGGAAAAGGGAATTCTATAAAGTGTGGCAGGCAAACATAACAGACCTGCTAGAACACGGCAAAAGATTTTTAAACACTCAGGACATGAAAAGGTGGCCAAAATTATCTGAAATTGCTGGAAAGCTGGAGTTGCTCTTAGGCTGTATCACAAAAACACTTCAGGACTAAACTCTCTCTTACTGGTGATAAGAGAGACAAAACTAGACAATGTGATGCTAAATAGTAAGGGTTTTGCCATATTTCCACAAAACACATCTTGACAAAAACGAGAACTGAAATCTTACCTTGAGGTAATAAATTCTATTAGAGTTTTCACTTTTTCGTCCTGTTCTACAGAAATGTCAACCTCATTGAGGATTGTGGTGTGCAGATGAGAAATGCCAGCGCTTGTATTTCCTAAACTGATGCTAGAAGAGGTAGAACTTGAACTAAGCCCTGAGTCTGTCATTGGGGAGGGCTGGTAATCAGGTATAAAATCATGAACACCTGCTGAAATACAAACAAGATGATTATGCACTTGGAAGTTGACAGTTAACATTAAATATATAAAAAGAAAAAAAAAGCCTTCTAAAAAATCCGTAATTTAGCAAACGTAATGAGAATATTTTAGCGGATGCAATAATTTCAACACAATCAACAAGTCTGATAAGCAAAGTCTTCACATGTCTGGACCCTTAATAAGGAACTGCTGGATCCCTTTTTAAAACCACTGTATTATATTTGATTTTGTACTGGTAATACAACAGCTCATTGGTTTCCGAGGCATCTCATCTTAATAAGTTGAGACAAATGGTTTAAGCTACTTAGATGGACTAGAGGAATTTTCGAGGTCCCTTCCAACCCCTAACATTCTGTGATTCTGTGATACTTCCTCATAATGCACAGATAATTTTTTTTGCTTAAAACTCAATCTCAGTGCAACTGACAGCACTTTATACCAGCAAACACTAAGCATTTGCTAGAGCATTGACTCCAAGCAGAGCCCCTCTGAGTGTACAAAATTTCCCTGAAGTTAGCTTAATCTTGCTGAGGTAAGATTATTTTCTTCATGTAAAGAATCACAATTGCAATAACTCCTCACATTACGTCTCTATCTATCTATGAGATGCTGGGAGAAAGTAAACTGGCAAGGAAAAACGGGTTGCAAACCTCTGACTATAGCAACTGTAGACAAGCTCGACCAGTAATTTTTATTCTACAGAGCCACAGAGTTTGGACTGGAGTATTGGCTGGTTCAAGTAAAATGTCCCATCAGCTTGCCTGACCTTGTGCTAGGTATGTATACCTGGAATCACCTTATTTTAATCAGCAGCTGGAAATGTTTGATGTTGATTTTATTCTAGTTTCCATCAGACATTTTTGTTTTAATAATAGCAAAATATTGTGTCATGCTTAGACAGTTTTATCCAAAACTGTAAAGATTAAGAATCAAATGGTTTGTATCATATTGTTGTATCAGTGAAGTTCTGCAAATAGGGTTACATAAAGGAATCCTTTCACTATGCTCACTTTTTAATTCCTCATTGCTATGAATATCAAGTTCACAAAACAGATTAATATTTTTGATTAGTGACAAAACCACTTCTACTGTGAACAAAACAGAACATACATTGTATAGCAATATGCTGCCACCTGCTGAGGTAACATGAAATATTAGATTTCAAAACAATGAACTATTGCACATTTCTTTTAAAACTACAGTAGGCTCACATCATCAAAATATTCCTGTCAGAGATATGTAGAAAATATATAGTTTCCTGTATGAGCAAAACACTGTAAAGTTAAGGTGAACATTAAAAGGTAATATATGAAAAGATTATTCTGATGGCCTATTGAACAACGCAATGACAGCTGACAAAAGTCACAATTCCTAAGTTGCTATAAAAAAGTAAGACATGTATCTTCTTGAGTTTTATTTTCAAGGGCATCATAAAAACTGCTGTATTCCAGATGCAAAACTTACGAGCTCCTTTTGTGATTGCCACTGTTACTTAATCATTCAGTTGTGCTCCCTACTCTGATGACTGGGCACAAAGTGCTAATGTGAATTCTATTCATTTTGACTTAATTCAAGAAGAACTACATATAAGTGCCAATGGCTCAGGAAAATATTACAAATAACAGAAATTTGAATAATGCTGGGAAGAAAAGAAAACTTTCCATGTTCTTTTAGTGACCAACACTTAACGAATCTAGAGCATACCTGTGAAAGTATAATCTAAATGGGTAGTTTGCTTGACAGTGAGCACCCTGGCCTCATTGAACTCTCTGTTTCTGAGTAGGACAGAAGCAACAGACTGGGTGTTACTGCCAGATCCCATCGCTATCAGTAGATGCAAAAGCAGTCGTTTACAATGCTCATACACTTCAGGGTGACAGTGGTCAAAGCCTAATGCAAAAGGAAAATGGAAAAGATTTATTACATTAAAAAGGCACACTACTTAAAAATAAGCAGTATTCAAACTGATACATTATAATTCATGTATCATCCACTAAATGGTTTTTTTTGTGCTTCAGAAATGAAACAAAAGCATACAATTTAACAAATATTAATATATCCTCTTGTTTCTCACACAGCAGTAAGAATTTTTTTCTGTGCTCTATACAAAAATCACTACACCAAAAAAACAGAAAAGAAAAAAATTTGTTTCTTCATGTGTTTTCTACGAGGAGAAAGAGGTAAAAGTGGCTCTAACAGGAAGTTCTTTCAAACAACTCCAATAAACTCTTAATTATATTCACGTTAATCAAGCTGAAAGATATTTAGTTGAATTTTTAAAAATATTGTCAATATTAACAAATTAATGAGATTTCAATACAGTTGCAAATATTAATTAAATGCAGAAAGAAGAGCTATGTAAATGGCTACCACTCCCAAGTCACTTGGCATATTTCTGTAGGGATTTAGTTACCTATAAAAATTGCATGAAGCAAAAGATGCAAATATCCTCCCCATTCCACCTTTACACTGTGGTCAACTATCAAGTCAGTCAGAAGGATCACTGCTATGTTGCATCTAAAAACAAACAAACAAAAGTATTAGAAGAATGTAATACAAACTTTACAAAGAGCTACAAACATCTTAATACACTACTAACCACTATTCTTTCTTAAGCTTATAAACATCCACAAAGTTGTATTATATGGGAAAAGATGAATACTCATAATCAAGATAGAGAAACATTAGTCCTCTAAATTAAAAGGTTGAAAAATCTTAAACTGTTTGACTTGTAAATAAAACCACAGATAACAAATTTACAATCTACTGTCTTTAAGTCTACTTTTAGTTTGTTATCCTTAAATATAGCATTGTTAAAACAGTTACCTATGAAGAGACATGCCCGGAGGAGAAGTTTCAGGCAAGTAATCAACCAACGGTGACCAGCAACCTCCACTGGGTGGAAAAGGTAGAGGCTCTCCTTGATTGTGCTCCATCACTTTCAACCGCCAGTTTGAATACAGAGGCATTGAATCACCTAATACCATAGATAATTAAACCAGGAAAAAAAAAATCATATGCTTCTGTCTTACATAGTCTTCTAAAGAAATATTTTTAAATTCTTGAAAAAGCTAAAATCTAGGAGGGGGGAAGAAGGAAACAGCTGTAGACAGTAGCAGCTGGACAGTTTAAGGATAAGCATAAGGATGATTCCACAGAAGCCACACACATCACAGAGTAAGATTTTCTTGAATAGGTTCATAAAAATGGTGGATGCATGTAGGGAACATGGATGCGCAGAAGAAAAGGTAAAGGGAATTAAGGCTGGGTCCACATTTCATTGCAGCTCCAGGAACTGTTTTTCAAGAGCACCTCTTTATAGGTCTCGACAGCAAAAATCCACCAGCTCTCCATGTTAGAAAATGCTGGCTTGATATATGGGGTAACTCAGAACTTGTCAATTTTACAACAGCATAGCCCAATCCTATCTGCTTGACTTGCTGAGAAAATCAGCAAATTTGTCAAGAAAACACAGCTTTCTATTAAGTAAGCTTCAGAAGTGAAAGAAACACATCATCTATCTGGTATGAGAATATACTGTGTTATATATCCAAAACATTTTTTTTTGTTTTCAAATGAGATGTCTTGGACTTCAAAATAATCAGTTAAGGCTAGAAACATCTTCAGGGTTGCCTCAACAGTTTAGTGTTTTGGTGATTCTACCAGTTGTCCTTCTGTAAGTACAGCTGCAGAAATTTCCTAAATTCACGCACGTATCAGCTCATTATCACCTTCTTGACTGGAGGTGACCAACTTCTTACTGATGGAACATGTTAATTATCAACCACTCCAGGATACTCAGTGTTGCTACTACAGTTAGCAAACAAAAATGAAAATGCCCACAACTACAATACTGGCCATCACCCATCCAAGCAGTTATAAACACAGTAGCTGCCCAGAAGGTCCACCAACCTGTTACTGACCCAAAGTTTAGCAGATCTGCACCAGTCCACTCAGCCCTTACAACAAGCTCTGCAGAGGACAGCACGTTCCACTTACTTGAAAGAGGAGATATGGGCCACATAATTCACCCTAACCTCTGTGCTCTGCACAGAATCGGTCATAAAGGAGTGCAGATGGAGATCCTAACACACTCTGCTGCTTCAATCCAGCACGGGACACGCTAGGTTCCATACTGACGTCCAAGGCTCAAAATGCAGAAATTTACATCCTTTTGTTCAGCAGCATAAGAAAGTAAGGGAAAGGCAGTGCTGTACCACACCCAAACAACTTAACTGGTAGCCAAATCAACTGTCAATAAAAAATAAAGTGAAACCTAAGAATATAGTTTGTGGGAGCACTATAGTGATCTGGATCGGACTGAAATGTATCTGATAACCCCATGCAGGGTTAAAGTACAAAGTAATTTTAATTACTAACAGCTTGCCAGCTGAAACGAGTTTCAAAGGAGTACTCTGACAAAGCACACAGAACCCACTAATGTAATGCATCATTTACTGTCTGACCACTGTCCTCATTTTTGCCCGATTACACGACCCGTTTAGCTTTCCCTAGCACTGTCATGAAGATTTTTGTATGCGATGATTTAGGCACTGGTAAAAAAGTAGCCACATTTAATAAGCCTCCATTAAAGAAAAGTCTCCAAAAGTATATGGAGTTTCAGGAGAAATTTCCACCCTCTCTCTGTACCTCCACACCTCAGAAAAAAAAAACAGACCACAGATCACAGAAAAATAACCCCAAAACTGATTTTCAAAAGAAGCTTGAAAATTAGAATTACATAAGATCCTTTTTCCTTGCTACATTTTTCTTTGATATGGCTTTTCAGAAAGTTGCGTGCCCTTTTTTCCTAAACGTGCCATGAACTGCTATTATTTAAAAGCACAATGAATTTTAATTTTCTAACTTCTTTTTTTATTTCTTTTCCATCACCTTTTCCTCATTTATCTCATCTTCCTCCTGCTAATCTCTCTCTTGTTACTTCTGCTTATCTATCCATCTTTGGTGCTGGTACTGGCAAAGAAAACGGAGTAAAACTGCTTCTTTCGGGAAGATGTTCACAGCTCGTTCCAGAGGGCAAGGGAAGGAAAGAAAGTGTACTGTCTTTCCTTGCACATTATAATGTAATATAAAATGTATGCTGGACTTCAATGGCAGTACTAAGATTGAGGAATGTAAGAACAGATTTTTTTAACACGTTCATACAAAACCCACTGCTAATGCCTATTTCCTCACATTCCACAACCTTCAGCAACAGTATTAACTTGGGAAAATTTTGGTTTCCATCCCTAGAAGTATTTTTAAATAAAAATATTACTTTTTTCCTCTTCATAAGAACCTCCAGAGCTGCTGCTGTAGCGAGACTCTAGTCTGTGGTGCTGGCGGTTTAAGTTACTGTTCAACCCACTGTAGATGTCTAGGTGTGCATAACTGTAGGAACAAACGAAACAGTATTAGTAACTGACATTCTCTGACAAAAATTGATCAGGATCTCTTAGTAAAACTGTATTTCAACAAAATTGTTATGCAAAAATATACTCTTAAAAGGACAACGAATAGGATGCCAAAGCATCTCAGCTGTAAAAGACACATCTCTGGTAGCAATGCTTGATAAAGGGATTCAAGGAGATAATCCACTGTTCTCATTAACATTTAAGTACATTTTAGTATTTGTTACTGTTATAAGTAAGTAAGCTCTTCTCACTCTTGTGCAAAATAATGAAATCCCTATTTGTTCTGGCACAGACATATATATATATATACACACAGACAGCGAGTCCAAAATCCTGCCTCACTGATCTGATAAAGAAATCAGAGATATGAGAGTACTAGAAGTACATTTCCAAGCTGTTTCTACATAAGTTTCTATAATTTTTCCCTCTTGGCAAGCCCAAGAGGTACACAGTATATCCTATCAAAAAGCATATACCCTGGGGAGTTGTTAGACGACCCTACACATACGCCAAAAACTCGCAGAGACTTTCAAAACTGCCTTTATAACTTAAGTTATTCAGCTCCAGCCCCCCAGAGCAGCCAAATACTTGGCTGTACCTTGCTAAGCTGAATTCTGAATGACACCTCAGATTCCACCTCAAGATTCTTCTGTGATTTATTTTCACACAGCCCCCACGCCTCCCAATTTAACTGAAGCACTGAGGTGGTCTCTATCAACAAATATCAATATATTTACTAATCTAACTATTGACATAATTATCCTAGGGAAGAAAAAAAAGTGTCCTACTGGTAAATTATATTGGAAATATAATTACCAAGGCTTTCAAACAAGTTGTCACAAAAGCTGGTTTGAGAATTTACCACATAGTAGCTACTCTAGGCTAACAGCACATGTGCACTTCATCTGTGCACACTTTTTCTCATGCTAATTACAGAATCCCTACTCTCATTTCACTTTAAGGTTAGCTATCTCTTATTTAACACAAAACGAGAGTATGCCCACAGTCAGTTACTGCTGAGTTCTGACTCCCCACCCTGGCTAAGTCTATGCCACCCATACACCGGTACCATCGTCTGGTAAATTTCTCCACCTGCATGTCCACCTACAGTATAATAACAATATAGCTACAGCAAGACAAAGTCTGACCTTGAAAGGTCCCTTGATTTATTCAGTTCACAGGGTTTTGAGTTCAAATTAGAATTGAGGCTGCTACTGTTAATCCCAATCAGTATTCCAGTTCTGCTGCTTAAAACTTATTACAGTCACTTATTTCCTGCAATGTAGACATACCTGGAGCCATTGAGATACAAGTATTTCTAGTACCTAGAAGGAATTCCTGTAATTTAACTAATAACTGTGGTTTGACAAGATACTTACTTCTCTTCAATATTGTCTTTTATATGTTTACTCTCAGGGTTGCCATCTGTGGGAGCTACCATTGTATTGCTACTAGAAGTGGTACCTAGAATTATGGAAAAAGATTGCTCAATACAAAAGAATAGTGGTCTTAAGCGTTACACAATGACCTAATAAGTCACTTGTCTATGCCAAGAGCCCTACTGGCTGGCACAAATATAAACTGAGCCATAGAAACTATTTTCATATGCAAGAAAAAAATGTTTAGACTAACACGTTCTGAGCTGCTACCATGACTTCATTAATGGGAAAAAAAATCCATTCCAGGAATCTGAGTTCTCAATGTGAGTGAAGTAGAAAGTCTTGGATTTGAAGCAGGATCTAGAGACCTACTTCTTTCTTTCCTGTACGCTACACCTCAGTCATCTGTAACACACAGTCGGACTTTGGTACAGTTAGTTCAAACCACAAACAGATTAAGGACTACAACCTAATGGCCTGCAGTGAAGCTTATACCAATTTCTTTCTAAGAGAAACTTGCAAGCGTGACACAGAATAATTACCAGTCAGAAATAATTTTGCACCCTCCCCATAGGCTTTGCTACTCTCATTTACAACTAAATGCAAAAGCCTCCTATTTTTTTTTTCGTACTTTTTAAATACTTTCACGAAGAAGTGGCCATGCATTCATCTTGTGATACCCTCCCAACCATGCCTTTTGTGGCTCACTTTGAAAGATGCTTCACCAAAACCAGACTGCTTTTCCCCACATTTCTCATCATATTTTTTGTATTGAAGCATGAGATAGACACTTCTTATATTTTCAGTGGCTTTTTTTTTTTGATGATTGCTCCGTTGTTAATTATTTCTAAATGAATTCCCCTGAGTAAGTGTACTTAAATCCTCTGGAATGTATTCCTGTGGATACAGCTTGTGTCTATTACAGGACTTAAAATATAACAACTTACATGGATTTAAAGTTACATACATTTTCCCAGTTGTTTGACTAAATCACCATAGAAGTGGTATAGTGAGAGTAAACTCCGCAGGACCTGAACACAAAGTCTAACACATATTACTACAAACTTGTTCCTTGTGAACTTAGCAGACGTTCTTTAATAAGGACTCTGGGTAGACAAAAAACTGCAGATTTTGTAAAACAAACTTTGTGCCTTAATTTATTTTTAGAAACAGAACATTGTGCTCCTGTTGAATATTCAGAGATAAACTTCAATGCTCCAACTGATTGATAACAGCATGTTTGTCACTGACAATAATAAAAGCTTAAGTTAATAAATTCTCACCTGAAGTGACTGAGGGGATTTTGTAACTGGAAGTAATGCGGTAATATGGTGGATTATCCATATGGGTGACTCCTGAACTGACAGGATCTGTAAGCTGAAGTTCACTCACCAGCTCTTCTAGGAGTTGCATTGTTTTATCTCTACCCAAATAAACAATAACTTTCTTTACCTGCCATCAAAAAAAGTATGTGTATATAAAATAGCATGTACAGAAATAATATTCTTCTTACAATGAGACTTGATTTTTAAAAAAAAGGAAAATAAGAGAACTGAATGCTGCAACTTGTTAGAAATAGTATCTACCTGCAGTAAAAGTGAGGATATTTGAAACTTACTCTAGTTTTTAAGGCAAACAAAATTGCTTTCACAGATGTCAATAGCAGCAAGCATCAGAAATGTACCACTAAAGTAAGAAAGTCTTCTGAGTTCAATGACAGTTATTTAACACGCAAAAGATTTTCTTAAAAGGGTTTTAGCAACATCTGAGATCAACATTATAATGAATGTATTCTGATGCAATTTCTTTTTTGGTATTTCACACCTGTGTTCTACACTACTTCTCTTCCAGCATGTATCCTATTTTTCCTCACGCTGTTCTGCAGTGCTCTCACATATATGTTGACACACACACAAATCTGGTTTTGAGAATGCTTGCGACGGGCTTTTGTTGTTTTAGTACTTGGTCACACGGGAGTAATCATACTGCCCCCACATGGCATGACAGGTACTTTACTATATTATCTGTCGCCTTTTTAGGACTATCCTAAATTATAGCATGGGAAAAAACATTTAACTCCTGAAATGCTCAAGGCCTTCATATGCTCTGATAAGAATAAACACCTAACTATAGTACTATTCTACCAAGCATATAGCAATTCAGGATTCTCCACTACATCACTTCTTTATGCCTTCACTACTTCAGCAAAATAATCCTGGTCACTGCTGAGCAGCAGCAGGTTGCTGCTAGTCAGTGATGACACTAGAAGCCAGTAAATTTATATTTTTTCTTTTGACATTTTCTCAGGTAATTACTGCCTAATGATTTATCTCCATCATTTTGAGAGAACTCCAAGATGAACGGTAAGCAAGTGAGCCAGGGCATCTGACTCTTGGAATTACATTGACACCTTATTCAAACCAACACACAGACTTTTGGCTGCAACACTAACCCAGATTTCCTGATTTGTAATGAAAAATATTGCAAATCAATGAAGAACTTAAGCGACCCTTAATAAGAACTTAATAATATCATAGGTCCTGATAGTTTACTTCATATCTAGGTTTTTTGACCATTAGCATAACCTGTAATGTTTTTCTAATGAAACTACTACTTATGGAACTATCTCAATTCTTCCTAATGAACAAAGACCAACTGCTGTCGTAGATTTGCATTTTCCGACCAAAAGGAGGAGTTCAGTGACTGCTCCTAATAAAAATAATGTAAATCTATCAAAATCCTAAATTCCCATTTTACGAGAAAGCAGCAAAAAAAATGCTAAGACAGATGCAGACATTTTAGTAAGTCTTTTTCATTTTTTAGGATTTACTCGCTAAATAAGGTCTATGGTCTATCTAGTATGCTCTGAATTTTGACAACTCATAACTGGCAAGACGGCTACTGGACTGTTTCAGGACCTACCACCCCGAGTAAACTGCAAGAGTCAGTAAAGTTGTCTTAAGCAAGCCTCAGCTACCTTTAACGTGCTGTATCCCTCCTGGTTTATCTCCTTTCTCAAGCCCATTGCATGAATACTGGGTTTAACCAAAACTGATACTGAAATTTTGACAGAGATCTCCAAAGTGACTCAAAAAATAGAACTGAATTTGATTTGTTCATAGCATTTAGTGGTCATAATGGGTTGGAGATTTGGATAGTAGAAATCCTACTTTGTATTTTTTGTTTAGTCATCTTTGCTGCCAGACACATAATTAATTTTTAAAAGATCAATAGCACTGAGGAGAGACGCATCATATACTCACATAAGGCAAAAGGCTGGGTTCACTGTTCACTCCACAGATACTGATCAAGAAGTGCAAAATTATTTTCAGATTCTTTGGCCAGCTGTCTGCCAAAGTAGTCCAGACATTTTCTATCTCTAACAAAGCCACTTCATCACCATACTAGAAAACAAAAACAAAACTAGAAAACATTATATTTGAAAGTGATCTGTATTAACCAAGTGGGACAGGCTTTAGAAAACAGACACATAAATCTCATAAGAGGCTGTTGCCTATTTAACATTCCAGAATGAAGCTTTCACATACGTTCACTTCTATAAGCACATTCTGGAAATAACTATTTTCTTATATAGCTATAAATACATAACAATATATTTGAAAGCATTTATACATATTATATGTTTTATATAATATATACTTTTATACATAAGTATAGAAATATTTATTTAAAAAAATTAAGAAAAACTATCTAAATTTAGCAGAGACCCATTCTCCCAGTTGCTGACAGTCTTGAATAAAATTTTGCTGACCATAGGCTGCTAAGAGTTTTTAATATGTAGCTTAAAACGTGATCTCTTATCAGTAGGATTCAAAGACAGTAAGAATTGGCAGGAGCACTGCATGTAACCAATACTTTTTCTCTGTGGAAGCAGCTGTCACTGGAAGGAAGAGGGTCTGCAGACTCTGGCAATAAGATCGCTTCCAGAACTCCACTTTGAGATCCCAGGTATACAGGTGGCTTGGCATTATCTACATTGGAAAACAACAGCTCTCTGCTGCTACTGTATGTAACAATTACTATAACATTTATATTAGATATTATGTATTTCTCCTAATACCTCAAAACAGTATGGTGTAGTTTGGGTATACATAATCAACTCAGGAAATATAAACAATAACTCTATGAAGTCTGGTAACACAGTATCTCTGAACAGTATTTTCTCACACCGTAAACACAAGAATCCACTGAAACAAAACAAAGAGCTTAACTAACTAGTTTTACCTTTGCAGTCATATACATCAGGTTGTTCAGAACCATAGCTGTAGCCTGAGGTGACCCCCAGCCTTCTCCTCGTAGCCATCGTCTACTGTTCACCATTATTTCTCTGTCTTTCAAAGAATCTTCTTCATCTTCGTCTTGCCGACGAATGGTTGGCAAAGGTTTCAAGTCCACCAACTCAATATTGTTCATCCATGGCAGCAGGTAATGCAGCATCACCTGTCTCCCAGCGGGGTGGGCTGTTTGGATTCTCTGACTGACTTCTGTCATTCGAAAGTTAAACACACACATGAACCGCAATCAATAACGACAGTCGTTCTGCTAACCACAACAACAATCACGAACCCAGTGGACCATACTGATATAAAGTAATGCTGATATAGACATAATTCTTTTTTTGTTTGGCTGACTAGAACCATTTCAAAATGATAAAGTTCACAGCCTGCAGCAGAGCTAACAGAAGACACTGCTGACAAATAGTCCACTGAAGAAATCATAGCAATATATGCACACATATATACCTCTAACTGGAGGAGCGAACTGAAAAGCTAGAGCATCTAAAAATGTACCAATTCTGGTAAAAGAGCACTTAAATTTTTTATTCTTCATGTTAGTCCTAGTAGGTTTTTTATAATTGATGAGAGAGGTTGTTATTCTGCAATTGTTTAAAACTGCTTTGGAAAAAAATTTTTAAGGAAACTACAGTAAATAAGAAAACATTAGAAGGAATAATAGAAGAACAATTTTTAAAACCAGTTGCAAATTATTCCTCTAACACGATTTTTCATGGCTATTAGAAAGCCAATAAAAGTATCTTTGATTTGTGCTGTTTCCTCTTGAATATATTTCAAATATCAATAAACAAAAATTGCCACTTAGTAAATTTCATTTTCTCCATTAAATGATTGTTATCTTGTTGTCCTGCTTTTAGTGAATTATATATAAATTCATTATTGAAATATAAGAATTACATATTTTATACAATGCTTTTGACTTGATGACGTTTTTTGTTTTAAAACCATACCTGAGAAGATAGCAAGTGTTAGTTCAGGATAAGTCCTTGCTAATTCTTCTGACAGTTGATAATAGGACACAGAATACAGATGTGGTAAAGGAGAAGGCTGACCCAAAATCCCATCCGTCCTCTGAACCTCCAGTTTGTGAGCGTAACGGAACATCTTTGGTTCCAAGATCTACAACAATAATGTTTAGAATCTGAAGCTAAGTGTAGAGCTACAACAGAAATTTTTATATAAAATCACCCTTTAAATTCCTGTATCTAGTCTTATTTACTGTTTTGTATGTCCATACACTTACAGTATTCACCAACACTTGGGTAATATCATAGACTAGCCTAGGCTCACTCGATGAGTTTCCAGCACTAAATTTCAGAAATCTGCTTTCACAAAATACCATTAAATACACATTTCTCTAACTATTGAATACTTGTATTTCCAAACAATACAAATTTCTGCTTATTTATGAGACATGGATTGGAGCAGAGATGCAGCAGGAGGCTAAAGCAGTTTGATACTTTAAAAGTCAGTTTTGGCTGATATTAAGTGGTGTCATGAAGAAAAAAGATGGGGCTGAAAGGAAGGGGGTGTGGCTTCAGTAATTTAACTGACAACAAAAAACCTTCACCTCCACGACTTGTGGTCTGAGCCACATGCAACATAGATTTATTTATTTTTAAACAATAATTCTGCCTATAAAATTAAGCTTATCCATAAATGACCTCGGAAAGAATACACAAAAGCAAATCAAATGGCTAACAAGATTTTCACTATCATCTCTCCAGACAGATAGATGAAAAAAAAAGCTTGGTATTAATGCAAAATTCAGAAATCTGCCTGCTACCCTAGTAGACAAAGTAAAGGGACAGGAAGCAATAGGCTTCTCTCCGAGGTGCTTTTGGACAAATGGAGCTATATACCACTGTGTTTCAGGGCCAAACCAGAAGAATCTTGCTCTATGTTGGGCTTCTTGAAAAAGCAGGTATTAGGAAAATACAAGTCCAGAGTTCTTTGTTCATGAAAACAGACATGCTTCCACTGAAGTCAATTTGTGCCAGGTAAGGATCTCGCCTAACTATGGGAAAATGAAATAATAACAGAAGTATATGTGTTTTTTAAAAGAAAAAAAAAGTAAATTAATCAAAATTAGCTTTCAAACCTGTAATAGTTGCATAGCAACTTCATAGATAGCCCTAGTAGAATCAGCTGCTTTAAACAGTATCAGATTCAGGAGGGTCACTGTATCACACTGGTAATCCCTAGGGAAAAATTGCAAGTGTGAAATAAGTAAAATTACATTTGGCTTTTTAAAATTTTAATTTATCAAAGTTTAATTTACAGAAGATATGGTATAGGATAACATAACATTTCTGAAAAGTTTCTGTAGTAATGCATACACACAAACAGGAGGGATCTCTCTTTGGGCGAGGAAAAAAGCCAGATCTACATGAAAGCACTCTTTGAAAATGAAAGTTTAAAGTTTTGAAAAACGCTGTAATACCTGTTTTGGAACACACTGGCTATAGCTTTAAAGCAGCCAGCTGCCACCCGCTTGGAACCTGTGTAACACCGGTCTACGGCCCAGTACATGAGGTTACTCTGGTCAGGGTTGAGTTCCAAGAGCAGCATGACTGCCTCGCAGCCTAGCTGGTGAACCTGTACTCCAGAGAAGAACCAATATAAATTTATAAATAATACAGGGAAAAAAGAGATCAATTTACAAACATGG